TTGAATAAGTTTGATTGTCAGGATCTCAAGGCCAACACAGAGTACCACAACTACACTCCTCAGTACACAGCCTAAGACACACTTGCCTGGATCATCGACTGAGAGAGTGTTGGTCTGCCTTACAATGTTTGCGAGTATGAGTTGGAATCGATTTTGGGTTCAAGTTGTGTGTTTTCGTAGCTGGCCTCGATGTGACTCGGAGCAGGAAAACCTAGGTGCGCACCATTCTGAGTCTGTAGAAAGACGCCAGTAGACCATAGTACCTTAGGTTGCAACCGGAGATTCCTCGGTCAAAAGCTAGATGTTCACCCTCGTGCTAGGGCGTGTGGCATTTGTTTGCCAAGGTCCGATCAGATCCAGTGGCATTCAGCTGAGTCATGGGGTACATTTGGGTACCTAGAAGCGACGGCCTCCACCCTACTAGCACATATGGCACAATCTTTGAGATTCAACATACTTGCTGTACATATCGAGTAGCCAGAACGCTACTAGGGGCTCTTGGCCGTACTACTAGGAGCAAGGATGCTACTAGGGGCTCCTGGCCTTACTACTAGGAGCAATGTTTGCTAGAAATAAGAAATACATAGAATAATTGATGCGGATGAATTTGCATGTTGAAGAGTGCTGCCTTGGATTTGGGTTGATGCGGCTGCATGGCAGCAGTTGACGTAGTCAGGTGATCTGATGGGGACCCAAGGTTCTGGAAGGTCCTCAGCGAGTTTAGCCAAGAGCAACGTGCTTGGTCAGCGACCGAGCAGGTGGACATGGCTTCACCTCAATGCTGAAAAAGAGAGGAGACTTTCATTTGTTCAGCATGAATTCTATCGAGTTTGACTACACCGCTGGTTGCACACAAGGTAGAAAGTTTGACATGAAAACATCTTGCAGATGCAACTGAAGCCAATGCAGTTGCAGGGTGGTCTTTGTGGGTGTTTGATTCTTCTTGTATTTTGCAGAACAAATGCTTCTGAGACACAGACAGGGCAATCTAGAAGACGAAAGTACCTGGCCGAAGAAGCACCAATCTAGATAGAGTTTCACCTGCGTATTAGTATACATATGATGATGTGTAGATAATATGTTGTCAAGAAGAAAGCAAATCGATAAATTCGTTGCCATGCTTCACTGCACCTCTCATGCCAAGGTTTCTTCAATTCGCCACGGGCACCTCACGAGTACCAGTGGAAGGCTTTAAGGCGATTCAACTACTGTAACTAGGGATAATGAGGATGATTCGTCTCAACATGCTTCAGACACTCACGAGCAAATTGTGTGTGTGTGTGTTAGGGGCTTCAGCATGCAAGTGACTCCAAGACATGGGCATGGTGGACCATATTGAACCATCCTTGCACTTGTCAAAGTCAAAGGATTTTGATGTGTAGTTATATATGCATACTGTATACTGCATACATATAATATATGTTTGCAATTTTGCACTATTCCCAAGTTCATAGCTGCATGTTAGCACCTCCAGCCAGTCCGCTGAGCTTGATGGGCCCACGATACCGCCCATGAGGAGTGTTCACGCTCCCATCACCACACGGAAAGTTGAGGTATTGCTCAAGATCAGGATTGCCCGAAGGATTCCGAAGGATTTCAATCGTCGAAAGTATTGTCCCTCAAACCATGCAGGAACTGATGCAAAAGGTGCCACCCTCCGACTCCGATGCCCTCACCTATGAGGTAATCAAAGTGACACCTTCTGTCAGTGACCCAGCAAAATTCTAGCCATCTCCACCTCCAGGGACTGGTGGGGATGCGTGGCCCACAGAAGTTCTGCATCCATCGAGCCTTTGGCCCCGAACGCTTGCCAACCGTGGGGGCGCTCGGAATGCTTTGAGGGTGGAGCAGTGAAGCACAGTACATCAATGAAGATTCTTGTTTGCATTTCGGACTATTGTACATTACGGCGACGGATAAGCAAACATAAACCGCTCAGAACTGTTGCAATGGATTTCAGGTTTGGCTCCATGGAGCTCCGAAAACGTGGGACATCGTAGGACCACACGAAAGACATCGCCTTGGACAGCGCAACCGGTACAGTTTGTTTGCAGAACATGCAAGACATAGGTGACATAGGATTTTGCATGATTTTGCGGTTGTTGGGGGCTGAAGATCTCTTCACTCCGGACACGGTTGGTCAAAGATCTCACTTCCCATGAACGAACTTGCAGTGGACTACTCCGAATGACGAAGCAAGCTGCGCCAATCAAACCAGAACTTGATGTTGACTGTACAAAGCTGTCACAGCCACTTACTCAACAACTAACCAACCAATCTGAGATAGACGCATTGCATGACCATCACAGTAGATCCCTGAGCCTGTAGAAGGCCCTGAACACACAGTGATTTCGGGAAGCAAACCACTTCAGAGTGGCCGACGGAGATCGCTGTCCGGAAGACAGACCCTTCAAACACGGGCCTGGTGTCATACTTTGTTTAGACCTACCATGGGCTGTTTTGGCCACCAGGCCGTAGATTACCAAATATAGGTTGTCGTGAGGTTCAAAGGTTCATGGTGCAAGCAGCCTTGGGAGGCTCACACCTGCTTCAATCAGTTGGGAGCTTGTGGGAAGCAGCAGCCACTGCCAGCCACTGCTGCTGACAGGATATTGTTCAAAGAACACTGCCTTGCTTGAAAGGACAGAACTTTGCCACTGCCAGGCTTTGCAGGAACATGTACTGTTTGTATCAGATTGTAGGAACAATGGGCTCGTGAGCTCAACTATCAACGAGTAATTATATACTATTTTGTGGCATCTCTCTAATGTGTCAACTCACAGGTTCAGCTGGTTGCTGCTTCCAAATCACGACAGTGTCACAACCATTGAAGCCCAAACTGAATTGGTGTCTCCACTATCAGCATGAGCTACTCCTGATTGGACGTACGTAATGATTTGTTGTCAAGACTGTCACAAGTTGGCAAGTGTTTGTTTAGGCCTGTCCATGAATAGACCAGCCAGTTGACCCTTGGCGTTGGTTTGCAGTCCACAGTTTGCTTGGCCCAGGCTGGATCTTCCAGATTATCCATCGGAAGAAGTACTGCGTGACAAGCTACTACAGGTTGGAGAATCAACTCTCAAGTTCCTTTGCGGATCATCATATTGTTCGTAATCTCCTGACACTTATTGTTCTTGCATTTTGTAGCATCCATTGTCCATTTTATTACTAGGAGCTAGAAGCTACTAGGAACAAAGGGCATCGCTGCTAGGAGCAAAGACGCTATTAGCAGCTCCTGGCATCGCTACTAGTAGCTCCTGGGCCGTTGTTTGTGTTTGGATTTTCAGGATTCTAAAGAAAAGCTGGGCAGGCGGTGCACGAAGGTCACGAGGGCTTTGGCTTTGCCTAAGGCGCAGCAAGGGAAGTCTACAATCAATGAGAAGTGAAATGACCGTTTGTATTTAGGGTCAGAGCAAGAGTACAAGTATACTTAGCTTCAAAAGATCTTGTACTGTCACTTGTCAGTTGTGTTGCCTTCTTCTACGTGTTGTTTTGCCGTTTTGCCTGGATGAAAGCACCTAATCAGTGTATCCATGTCAGCCTCTCCACCAACTGTCCCTGTCAACTCACAGGTTGAGAGATGAAGGACGCTGGTTTCAACATTGCTGAGACACACATGTTGGTTTACTGTGATTTGTTGGTAAATGCTGGAAGACACTGGAAGAAACAGGTTGACAGGTCGAAGATTCAATACGACATTGCCTTTGAATATGCGGGGTATTTGTATCTTCTATATTGTTTGTCTTGTTCAGAATTGGACTCGACTTTGTGGTGTTGATTCTTTGGTGCCTAGTGTACTGTAGTGTAGTGTGTTGAAAGTCTTTTGTGCAGCACAGCTTTGTGGACCAAAACACAATACGTTGGGGTGGGATATGGTGGGTCATCACCACTAGGAATACACTGGAATACATTATGTTGCAATCACAACAACTCACCAAAACACAACTCAAAACTCAAGACCAAGGTTTTGATGGCTTTAGCTTTTGCTTACATTGTTTCTTGCAGCCTTTGTTGCTTGCCATTCGAGGCAGACTGCCGTCAGTGAAGTCCGACCGAGGGTGGTTTGACTACTTTGACGTGCATGTTCGCTTGGTCTGTGATCACCTTATAGAATCCGCACGACCAAGTGACTCTTCATTTGCGAACCAGCGACATGGGCATGTCGAATGTTTGCCCAGACTAGATCCAACCTGCGAGGGTGAAAGCGAGCACTGGAATGATCCGCCCAGCTCGAACCAAATCGATGATCCTTTGTCACCTTTTGTTTTGTTGCCACTGATCCAGGATCCTTCCAGGATCGCGGTGCTCAATCGGAGACCCCAGCAAAAGCAGCATGTCCCATGCTTTGTGAGAAATTCGCCATGCTGGTGGATGATGCCCTTCCACATCAGGAGGGGCGATCCACCAGCAACGAGGACAGAGTCTCAGCAGTTGGCTCCAAGACTTTGCAGAGCGTCACTTACTTCACTTGGTGCTGTTTGATGGCTCTTGTTAGATTCCCCTTCACTCAGAGCGGTTCGGGATCCTTTGGGTTTCACTCAGAAACTATTTGATCTAGCATTCAGAAGCTACTAGTAGCTCCTGGCCATTTTACTAGTATAGTGACAAGAAACTACTAGGAACAAAGGGCATCGCATCGCTACTAGGAGCAAGAAGCTACTATTGGGTAGGCCTGCCTTGTATGAGCCAGTTGCTGGCAAGTATCTTTTCAGACTTTGGTACATGGCTTGATCAGATTTTCCCTGTGAAGTATTCCCTGACGCTCAGCAGGGCTTGGCTTTTCAGATTTCACCAAGCATGCCCTACCAAGCGGGCCAAGAGCAGAGGTGCCAGAGACGCAAGAGACGCACGATTTGAGAGCGACAAAAGCAGATCTACTGTATAGAAAGGATGTACTGTAAAGAAGTGAGGACCAGCTATATATGTGTTGGATCCATGAAAAAGCTTGAAGTCAGGTTGACGTCTTCCTGTCCATATCCGGTAATTACTTACATGTTCTCAGACGTTCATCCTCAAGGGCTTCTAGCTCATTATTTTGCGTGGCGTGTTGTAGAAAGCTTCCATGACTGCTGCGACCAATGGTAAGGACACCACCAAGGGCTCAGTTTGCGGCTAGTGAGTAGTACCCGGACGATGTTACAACAGCCTCAACTGATGACGGCCTAAATCACCTGGCTAATACTGCCAGTCTGGCAGGCAGTTCCTCAAGCGCCTAGATCCTACTAGTAACAAGGGCATCGCTACTAGGCACACGTTGTTACTAGTAGCAAAAAAGGGGCATCGATCATCGATCCCAAAGATCTGAATCAATTGCAGAGGACCGGAGCCGATCTCCAAAGAAGGAATTGCAACTCCTCTGCAGTTCGGCGTCAGGGTGCTTAATGTATTTTTGTACTGAGGCTTGGACATTTCAACGTTGTTTGTCTTGAGCAGCGGCAGAGGGGCAGGCAGAGGGGCAGAGCATGTCCATGTTTGGGGGTATTGCTAGCTAGATGAAAGGGCCTTTGCCAAGAGCCCATACGCGTCCTTTCACGTGCACATGTCCCAACATTTTGAGACGCCCTTGTACTACTTGAGACCAGCTGCGGCATAGCCATCGGCACCAAGGAAGACCGATCCATCAAAGCTCACGGACAAGGATCTTAAGGAGCCTTGGCCAATTCACGGGCAAGAGCTGCACGGCTGAGTTCTTCAATGCTTAAGTTGTCCAGATAATTTCATTGATATTTACATATTCAAATATAGAATACCCATAAAGTGTTACATTCAACCAGGCGCAACCAGGCAAGGAGATCAATAAATCGCGTTTGCAAGACATTGGTGTTGCTGGCCTGGGTGAAATAAAGGGGCGCAACTTCTTTGCTACCTTAGAGAGGCCCTGTTACCTGGGTATTGAATTTGCAAGGGTGGGGGGTCGAAAACCCAGGCGAATTGAATCAGATTTGTGAACACCCTACTGCAGATGCACATGTTTGTCGTTATTCTGTTTAGGCTTGACATGCATAGGCTCTTGCGATGCTGAACCAGCTGTTTGTGGCAGCTGTTAGCTCAGGATGGATTTTCTGCGGACGAGATCTTCAACTCGAGCACTACCATGTGACTCAACTTCAAGCATCTAAAGACTGAAGGTTGTGAAGGTGTGAAACATTTCCGTACATTTTGCCTGGTTGGTAAGTTCTTTTTGGCGGGTGTATACTCCCTGCTGTAGCAGTGGGTGTTGGCTGACACGTCTCTCAGTTGACTCACAATTCAGAAGTCGTTTTTATATGTTTCGGGCGTTAGTGATGCTGTTTGGCCTCTGAAGAGTTGAAAAATGAAACCGATGCAATTCAATCAGAATGGCCCCGCCATTGGAGCCCGCTTCCTACTACTGCAGTCTTTAGTTGTACTGTATGTATGCAGCTTCTTGCAGGGAGCACTTGAGTTGGACAGTCAAATATGGTTTTTTGAACTCTTGAGCTCTTCAGATGGCTTTGGTCTTGTCTTGCTGGTTCATTATTTTTGAGTGGAGCCATTTTGAAGCCTAGCTGAGCTTGCTTTGCTGGGCAGAGCCCCAAGGAGTGGATACACATACGATGACTTGATTTGCTTGCCGGGCCACATCAACTTCGGAGTTCATGCCACTAGGTCGCAAGTTCCTCCCAAGGGGTTTGAACAACTGATCCAAATCCTGTGTCGAAAGGGTCTGGTGGCATGTTTTAATCTACGTAACAAAATTCGCATGACACCCTATCAGGCACAACGACCTCTTAGCTGCCACTGGCGGTAACTGATGCACTTTCCGCGTAAAAAAATCAATCAGACTTCTGAATGAGCATGGACATAGCTTGGAGGTGAGGATGGTCGTGGCAGGCCAAAAGACAAACTCTGTCTCACAGCATAGTTGTTGTGTTGAAATTCCCTTTGAAAGTTTAGATTTGTGAGCTTTGAAGCACTTTGCATTCCAGGCATATGCAAACAAGCATTCAAAGGAAGTATCGCAAGCTCAACTCAGCACTTAGCAGCTGAATGTATGTGTGAGGAAGCAGAGGCAAATTGCTTGAACGCTCGGAGAAGGTAGAAAAAGGAAGGTAGTCTTTTGCTTGCTTCATCTCACAGCTTAACTCTGTCCATGGTGAAGGAAATTGGTTGGGTCTTGGAGACGATCCAAGGATGTCAACCTCTCCTCGCGCTTCTCCAAAAAGATCACTTTGCGAACACCTATCGTCTCCAGCCCCATGGATACAGCTTCTTGGGATTTGGATGTTTCGAGGGATGCAACTACTTTATTTATTTTCTGCTTCCGGACATCTTACAGATGCTGAATATGAGTATGTTTGAGCTGGGATGGTTATGCAGCTAAGGTTACCGAGTCCAGCATGGCCATCGCCATGGCTTTGGAAGGTGTGAATTCTTGGGGATACGTTGGCAGACTTTGTCCGCTCCTGTACATGTGCATGTGGCAGGTACTGTAGTCACTAGCCTGGTATATGTGCAGGTATTGTAAAGACTTGTATAGACAGAATGAACGAATGAACAACCCCAAAGCCAATGAAGTCCAGGTTTCAGTGCCATGTTATTCCACGGTCAACTGGTTCTACACCGGATTTTGTTGCAACGGGGATCTCGTTGATTCTTTGAGCATTGGTCCCCACTTCACCCCAGCCACAACAGTAAGTCATACCATTGCTGTTTGTGTCACGGGACAAAGAGGCATGTTCAGATATGCATCACAATACGTCCCAACTCTCACATCCGGCTTTGCTGCGCACAAAACACCGTGACCGTGAATCTACCTCCACCCAGCAAAGGACATCTTCCTCTATTTAAATTAATTAGCTCGGGATTCAATCCCACACCGTTTTCAAGAGTCTGCGAATTCCTGCGGTCAGGTGGCATCGGGGTGATTCACACAAACATGAGCATCGAAGCTCAAGCCCAGGAGGTGGCTCGGGTGAAGATTCTTGGTTGATGAGAAGATATTATGATACAGGGTGGAGATGCTTTCAAATCCTTACGTGACTTGATAAAGGGCTGGCTGTTTGTGGCAGAGAATTAACATCCGACACTTAGGGATTGGCTTTAGATCGGTTTGGGATTTGGGAGGGTTCAAAGCTGTTCCACCCAGACGACCACGGTGTGCTAAACTGCAAACAACCGTGCTCAGGAAGTTCAAAGCTGGCTTCATTTTGGACCCTGTGACTTGGCCAACCTGCAAAGATTCACTTGCTGAAGGTGGTTTCTCAGTCGAGCACTGCCATACCACGCATGGCCATGCGACCATGTGCGCAGTTCGCACAGGTGCCCCCGGGCCTATTTTGTTGGAGGCCATCGCTACTAGGGTGTCGGCCATCGCTTCCTAGGTTGGAGGCCATCGCTAGCAGGCTGGAGGCCATCGCTAGTAGGGTGTCGGCCATCGCTAACCATCGCTAGTAGGTTGTAGGCCATCGCTGGCAGGTTGGAGGCCATCGCTTACCAGGTTGGAGGCCATCGCTAGTAGGGTGGAGGCCATCGCTAGTAGGTTGGAGGCCATTGCTAGTAGGGTGGGGGGTGGAGGCCATCGTTGAGGCCATCGCTAGTAGGTTGGAGGCCATTGCTACTAAGGTTTGCGTGCCGCCCACCATGACCTTGGAAGAGTTGGATGCCTTGAAGCAGAAGTTGGGCTTCACCGGCTTCCCGGTCACAGATCCTTGCACCTTTGGAATATGATGGCTGAACTTATGTAAGTTGCAGCAAAAGGCCGCAAGAGGCCAGGAATAGCATTGCAGTCTTTGATTCGCAATACGGTAGTATTTATAGTGCTATGATTCTTGGTTTTGAGCAATGGCAGAATATGGAACTTCGCAGTGAGCACGCTGAGGACTCTGGGAGGATGGGTGCAAAGCTGTTGGGACTGGTGACCAAGCGCGACTGTGACTTCATTGAGGACATCGTATCAGCCCATGTGGCTTCCAATGTAGCACTTGTTTTGCACAATAGCCCAAAGGCGGCCAGGTGAATGTACTTCATGGCAGCTGTGCATGTCTCCACAATAGGATTCAGTTCACCATCGCAGCCCACAAGTTTACTGTATGCAGCAAGTTGCCGGACATGTGCATGAAGAGCCACCACCGTTGCCAAGACGTGGCACAGTTTGCGTTGGTCATCATGTCTAGGTGGATGGACTGTAGATGACGGTTATCGACTAATGATCTAATTTAGCTGCTACAGATTTGGTTCGTGTCAATCTAGATTTGAACCTCCAACTCCACTTCGGCACGAAAGCATTGTTTTGAAATGCCCGTCTCCAAAACTCGCTTTTGTGCCATGTTTCACAACTGCCTGGATTCGGTGCTTTCGGTACCGCAAGGACCGAAAGACTCGGTTGACCTCCATTATGACGCCAGTGAAGGCCGGGCAAATGATCGACCTGGTCCGGCGGAGTCCGGCGTCCTGATGCCACCAATAGAGGCTGCTTGAGCTACTAGTACCAAGAAGCTACGAACGGGGTTCCTGGCTCGCTACTAGGAGCAAGGACGCTACTAGGGGGTCCTGGCCGTACTACTAGGAGCAATGTTCGCTACTAGTTGATCAAGCTACGTCACTTGTTCATTGTGTGTTTTTCGCCTCGATGCGTGATAGTTCGCCTAGGAGTCACGGATGATAGACAACTAGACCCATTGTTGCGACCGAAATAACGTTAAGGGGCTCGATAAAAAATGCTCCATAAGACTAAGAGCTTTATTGTGGCCAGGTCCTTGGAACCTTTCTGATGTTTTAGATACAAAAGCGTGGAACCGCACCGCACCTTACTCGGTGCATAAGGGTTGCACGCGAGAAGGCTTTTCAGGAGGTTTGCGCCCTGGTCACTTTATTTGAGGTCTGGTGGGGTCTGGCTTGCCATCAAGTTTCATGGTTTTAAGCCCGGTTTCTTGGAATTACTGTAACTTGCTGTGGGAGCCAAGAACTCTTGGGCAAGGTTGTTTTGAGCAATTTCGCCGTGGCTTTCAGTGAGGAATGGTGTTTTTGCATTTTCGACTTTGCCCCGGAATTTTTTTTGCTGTTTCAGGGAGCCAAGGCAACCTGTTGCCAACACGAGGGTGTCTTAAGTCGCTTGTGCCAGTCGGACAGATCTAGCTGCTTTGGACTCCGAAGCTTGCACAAAGGGTGGTCTAGAAAGTTTTGATTCGCCTCTGAACTCAAACAAGAGTACTGCACTGACAAGAGAAAGCAAGTGTACAGCCAACATGTTGTGTGGGTTTAAAGCATGGAATTTGAAATGTAGTCGCCGATTCCCATGAGGTTGGGAGACAGAAGAGTACAATTTTGGAAGTCCTCACGAAGCGCCAACACTTAACACATCTTAACACCAATCGCCTCGTCCTATTTCTCAAAAATCAAATAAGACAAATGAGATGAACAAAGGAAGGTAAGGCCCCTTTAAAAGGGCCTTACCGTCATTTGTGCATCTTTTTCTTCTATGAACTGCATCACCGCCGACCTATCCCACCTCGTGGGGTGATGTGTTGCTTTGGTCAGGACTTGGTCCTGGCGAAGGAAGGCATCGACCTAGTGAGCTGCAACGACATGCTGCAGAAGTCCAAGTTCCTTTGCAGAAGACATCGTGCCAGCAAAAGCACACAGCTCAACGCCGGTAAAACCCGCACAAAGTCACACATTGGTGCGAACGCTGTGGAACACCTATTCATAAGTATACTAGGCTGAAATGACAAAGGACTTGTGAAAACTACCTCCAAATTGCGGCGGCTAAGTCATGAAGGTTTAGCCTACCCCCCACAAGTATTTATGTCATGAAGCAAAAGCTTGGAAAAACCTCAAAATCAGAGATGCCAGAGGTTGTCACCAAAGATCCTAAAAACAGTTGACTTTATATTGACAAGCATCATGACATACGACTTTGGTATCTAAACAATGAATAAACCATCGAGAGATAGGAATTTGAGAGCAAAAACGCACAAAGGCAGACTTAAATGAGATACTCGTAGTAATGTGTTCTTAATGAGACAGGACAGGATTCCTAAGTCCCAATTGGCCTAAGTCATCTCACCCTAATCTTCCAGGAGCATGCCCCCCACCCCGAAAAAAAAAAAATCAGGACCAGGTCAACAAGGCCTATGTCATGAGTGTGTGCCAATGAAATTGCAAATTTAACATTTGTACATGACTTAGGACTTGCCCTGGGAAAGTTGTATGTCATTTCGACCCAATTGGCCTAAGTCATCTCACCCTAGTATAATTTGGAAAGGAATGGCGGGGGGTAATGACGGGAGGTTCCCCAGTGAAGCAAACACAGGAAGGATCTCGACACGCTATGGGGACAATAGGGTAAGTATCCTTAACCCTTTGGAGAAGGAAAGTTGTGTCCTTGTGTCTACCCCCGGATCGCACCTGGCGGTTCTTCATATTATATGGTTGTTTAGCTTCTGTTGTATCCTGTTCTGTTTTTTTCCTGATATTCACGGACAACATACTGTACATTACTGTACTATGGACTTTTGTTGGATCCTGCTTCAAAAGTATAGAATCCTTTAACAGGCAAAATATGAAAAGGCATTTGCTTTCCCTTCAGGCTCTTTGCCTTACAGTAACAAGCATCTTCTCAAGAGGCATGCAAGCTTGCAAAAGGCAAGTGTTGGATCAAAGATTTGTCCAGGTTGGCCAAGAGGGTTGCACAAACCGACCTGAGGAAGGGGAAGCTGCCGATTGTGACAGAGAGTGGCCTACTAGTTGCAATGGTGTCCAGAACTGACATCAAGAAGAATGTCGAGTTCCCGAACGCCACAAAGGACTGTTGGGTACCGAGCGCTCCGAACATTATGGGTGATGACTTGCATGAAGCGGGGAACTTTGTCCATGGGACATTGATACAAGGCATACCTAGGGTTCATGACTTGGAGTCACAGTTCGCCAACGTCAAGCCGTTACCGTGCACAAGAAATGTAAGAAATGGCGTGGATGGAGGCTTGGATGGAGTTGGCAATGATCTAGCGGTTTAGTTGGCACAGATTGTAGACATTTGTTGACCTATCCGGTTTCCAGAGCGCAAGGATCCACTGAACAAGCAGCTGCTGGTGGCCGCTGCGATTGGCACTCGCCCAGCAGACAGGGATCGAGTGAATGCACTTGTTTCCGCAGGAGTGGCAGCAAGGGTACTGGAAAGTTTTTAGAGAGGCTGCAACACTTTGTAGGGTGTTTTAGATGTTTTTTGACAGACAGGACAGATATATAATGATTTGCTTGCAGACGGGGGCAAGAAGTCCAACCCCACTGGTAGTTTTCTTTTTTGTTTGTGTGTGTGTTTGGTTCTTCTTGAAGTCATTGTGAAGGCTATGGCAGCTGGCATTCACTTACGCAACATGTTTGTTGCATGACTGGCATGATCTGTGAGCTTGCAGTTATGTATGATATTGTTTTTGGATCACAGGAGATGCACTTTCGCCGGGCTGACTAGTACTGTGAACTCCCCAGTTGCAAGCGGCGAGGAAAGATCATGATTCCGTGACGAGCGTTTAGAAGCCTGCATGTGTGGTGAGAGAATATGTCGTGGCAGGAGTGGATGCCATTATCATCGACAGCAGCCAGGGAGACAGCGTTTTCCAGCATGAGATGGTCAAATGGATCAAAACAAATCACCCGAACATCCAGGCGGGTGACCACAAGTATCCACAATTTAGCAGACGTCGTTTGTTTGAAGCTAGCCTCAAGGCCTAAGGGAGGTTTGCTCGTCTTTTCTGGTGTCAATGTGTCAAGCTATTGGAGTCTCGCCCAACGCTGTGATTGTCATTGTGAAACATTCAAACATGAGATATATAGAAATATGTTTGTATCTTTCCGCATAAGCCCGAAGAATGGTGCGTTGGCCCTAGCATCGAACTCTGAGACACACCAACCATAGCTATAACATGCTGATTTCGACGCTGATCACTCAAGCAGGTTGTGGCTGGCAACGTGGTGACGAAGCGCCAAGCGAAGCATCTTATTGAATGTGGAGCGGATGCCTTGCGCGTGGGTGCCACGGCTGCTGTGATGGGAGAATTGTGGCCAGCTTCTTCAGCTGTGATGCAACAGCTCACAGACGTTTTATCAAGAGTACAGTACTTGCAGGTAAATACGGTGACTCATATAAGATTGAACTGATACCAGAGGTTACCAATCCCTTCACCTTAAAGTATATTGAACGTGTGTGTGTGTGTTGCCAATCGAAACTTTGCAAGGTCCATGCAGGCAGAGATATTTGTTTGTGGAGAGTGACTAAGATTCAAAAAGGCATTGAAGCTGTATACCGAGGCCCCAAGATGTCAGTTCAGAGAATCTGCCGGATTCTCCCCTCTAAGGTATGGGTATTGGATCCATTTGCACCACGCAAGAGGTGTGTGCTTGCGGCCGTGCCCAGGCAGGAATTGGGCTGTCATCCATGAATGCATGACTCACAAGGAAGTTGCGGCTTTCAATTGTTTTCCTTTCAAAATACAGCACCCTGTGCCTTCGGGGCTCATGTGGATGATTCAATTGTATGGATGCAGTTCTTTTGCGCTAGCCGGGGATGTTTTTGCTTGACACTCATATGCTGAGTCATGTTGGAATTCAACCTACTTCTTCTCCGTGTTGTTACCACTTTCAAAACCTAGCGAGGGATGTAGAACCAACTATAACCAACTATATAATGTTCTTGACAGATTTCTTCAAGGCCCAAAAGTGTTTAGGTCGTGCATGTTTGAATCGGAACCGGGCAGCTTCCCAAGTTTCTGATGTGTGCAAGTCGACCGCATGCAATAGTGCCAGGCCTCGGCTGTTTACAATGTGGCGAAGCTGGCCAAGGTGTATGATGTCCCCATCCTAGCCGATGGTTCCTTGGAGAATGTGGGAGGATGACATATGACATATGCTTATGCTCGGATCTAGCAACGTCACAGTTAGGTTAGTCAAGCGGAAACCGAAATCCTTTTGCTTGCTTGTGGACTAGGCGTTATTCAGGTGCACACCGGGAGTTTCAAATGGGCCCATCATGATAGCTATACGATGAGGCACCAACAAAAACCTTAGACACTTGAACATCAAAAGGAGTGACCTTCGATGCCTATTCAATGGCTTCAATTGTGACAACTGCTAGGACAAGAACGGTGAAGCAGGAAGAGGTGTCAGATGCTAAGAGTTCCCTTGGAGGGTTCTTGGATGTTGTTGGGTCACCCTCAGGCCCCAACATGTTGGAGCGGTCGATGGTGATTATGGTAGTGGTGATGATGCGGATGAGGATCAGGATGATGACAAAGCTGAAGGTTCTCCTTGCACCACCTGAAGATCCAAGCTGCTGCTCTCAGGTGGGATTTCCAGCCCCGGGCACATCGTCAAGGCCTTGAGTCTGGGCGCTGGAGCGGCCATGTGTGGCAGTCTTCTGGCAGGCGATGGGATGATGGCAAATGGTCGCAACATGTTCTGGACGATGGTTGAACAAGTGCAGTTGGAAGATTTTGGAAGATTACTGAAGTTCATCCCAGGGTGCTTATTTGCAGTTTCAGCAGCTGCCAAAGATACGTTTTAGTTATATAATGTGAAGTGTTAGTGTTGAGTGCCTGGATGAATTCGCCCACTTGGTCCTATTCTTTGGCTCCAGGCACTTCAGAGACCCCTGGTGAGTATTTCTACTCTGAAGACGGCAAGCGCCTGAAACGCTACCGTGGTATGGGCTCGATCGATGCCATGAAGAAGGCCAAACCTTTGTCCAACATCCGTGTGTTGCGGAGTCTTGTTTACACATTTGACTGGAGAAAGTTCACAAAAAAGCAGGATAGCACCCAGGCGCCATGTAGCCAAACTGTGAGCTCTTGCTGGACTTTGTAGACTATGATAACTTGCATCCTACTGCTGTGTGCCAATGCCCGATTCCGATGAGGTTCCAGATTATGTGAATCTTTGTGATTTGATAGTTTCTTTCCGGAATGAGCAACAACAGGCAGCCATTGTGAGGGTCCCTGAGTTTGAGACCTCCCCGAGACGTCCGTGGATCAAAAAGTCACTGACGACAGACTGCGCAGGGCTCTGACGACAGATACTTTGGCACAGCCGCAGCAATCAAAGTGGCACAGGCAGCAAGAGACTTGCAACTTCGGTGTGCGCCACCAGGGGTATACAGAAGCAAGTGACATGGGACTTCATGCTTGATGTTTGTGTTGTTTGGTCCTCCAGTAGGTGCCTGGTGTGGTTTGCAAGAAAGACATTGCCGTCCCATAAGGTCATGGAGTGATTGATGCTGCATGATACTGCTATGATTCCATGGCTTTGGATGTTCGGCTTAGGTGTTGGAGATCTTAGCTTTGAAGTGGTGGAAAAAGCTTTTGAATTGTGACTGGGAAGAAGACTTTGATAGTGTAACGTGTTTGGCACCTGCGATCGCTACAAGATGAAACAAAGGTCGCTTTGGACGAGTGTGGGAAGTGACGTGTTGGTTTTGCTTTGTGCTTTGATCCTCACTTGCAGGATTTTGAAGCAACCTTTCGAGGAAGAGAGCAATAATTTCCACTGTCTCACGACCCCTTCGGCTATTCAAGTTTGCATGGGATTACCAAACCTGCCACTTTTCAGTGCTGAAGGGCACAAGCTGATGCTGCCAGGGCGTGTCCGGCACTGTGCAAGACAAGGGCAGCATCCACAGATATATCCCGTACCTGACTCAAGGCATCAGACACGGGATGCAGGACGTTTGGAAACTGCTTTCGCATTGATTCATAATAGTTTGCTTGCTCAACATGTTGCAAGAGCAAGTTTCTCAGAGCCCCTTTCCATTTATCCAAGTGGAATCTATCACTGCACTGTATTTTTCATGTGGAATCTTGAAAGGAGCATTCTTATAGAAACCCTTGCTTGGAACAAGGAATCACATGATTGGATGGTAAAGGGGCGAAGGGGTACCCATGCTCAGTCACTTGCATAAGTTTAGGGCATCCTCAGAACTAGAGAAGAGTACTGTAGGCACTCAAATTCATCGTGTTGTTTTCAATTAAGGCCAGTTGTTCCAGTGGTGGACTTCAGATGGAGGGGCGCTTGCATCCATTCATGCTTGATCGGGGTCTCGTCATGTGCCTTGCGGCGAGGACATTGGTGCGCAAAGCGTGCAGCAAGTCCAATCGATGCTGCAGGACAGGGGTGGCAAAGGCGCCACCTCTCAAGGGTTAGTTAGGATCTTGACCATGTATGGCTAGGTGATATGGGATGCCTCGTTTCTTGCCCCAGCGATTGAGAGTTCAAGCCAAATCCTGGTTGCCGGAAGGGGATCTAGTTCTTTCTAGTCGCTGATGAGTGGTTTGCTGAGGGGAGTTCCCAAGAATCTGCAAGCGACATTGCCAAGGATTTTTCCGCTCAGTTCTTCCAAACCCGGTTGATTACCGACTGTCGAGTGACACCCTAGTCCAGGCGGAATGTGCCAACTTACTGTACAAGAACTTCAGGAGCTCCATGTGTTTCATCAGGTGCTGTCAGCCAAAAAATGCCGGAGGATATCGACCCAGACAAAAGAGCGTAGGTACTCATGTTTTGCACCCAAACCAACCCTGGGCAAACAGAATTCTTGTAAATTCTTATATAGATTAATACTGTATATTCATACATATCGAGTGTGAACTTCTACTAGTAGTAACAAGAAGCTACTAGGAACAAGTGCGCTTCTAGTAACAAGTGCCTTACTAGTAGTAACAAGAAGCTAGTAGAAACAAGTGCCACGCTACTAGGAACAGGTGCCTTCCTAGTAGTAACAAGAAGCTATTCGTTTTTGTGAATTACTCAGCAAGTGCCTCTCGCAGGATGGCCAGTTGCGCTTTGAGCTGCGGTCCGCAGCGGCGCAGCGGGAGGGCGGAGTGCATGGATTGCATAGCTTCGAGCGTCACTTGGCAATTGTTACTGTACTACCTTTGCATATCAGTGGATTTGAGATCATGTTGCCTAATTATTGGGTTGGTCAATAGAAGCTACGAAAGAACTTCAAAGTTGCAGGCTTCCGATGCAGAAATCATAACGACTCACAGTGTTTGGATTGACCTTCAAGTCAATTCTCCAATAAAAACAACATAATTTGACATTGCGAACAGCGAAGGGAATTCTTCTAGCCCTCAGTCAGATGGTAGCACTTTGCCTTTTCTGCTGTATGTTCTTGGGAGTACTCGCCAAAAAGGAAAGCTCTTTGACTCCTGAGTTGGACAGCCCTCTCTTCCGTTTCTTTAGCAACGATGGTGTCAGCATAATCTTTGGATGTTCGACTTGATAGTGGCGTCGATTTCTGCTACGAACTCACAATACAATGTGATATTGTGCTGACATTTCCTGTTTCCTTTTGAACACTCTTGGGCTTCATTCCCACCTTTGGCCTGGGAAACCGCCAATTATGTTTCCGCAAATGTTGGAAACATCCCATTTTGCTTCATTTGGAACCAAAATGAAAATACTATATATATATATGATTATAATGATTATATATTATCAAAATTTAATGAATATAGTTTGATAGATTTTGAAGTAGATAATGTTACATATGATGTTTGTTATTTCTTTATGTTGGAATTTTTTGATTAATCTTTGGAAACGATTGACGATAGATAATTTTTGCGAAATGTTCGTCTTAGAATATATATATATTTTTTTTTTTAAATATAGAATTTATGATGGGCAATTAATTTGATTATCGAATAATAAAATAGAATAGAATTGTATTAATTTTTGCCGAATAATCCCTATAGAATGTTAATATGATTTGGCATATTATAGAAATATTTTGTTTAAGAATTATATAAATATTAATTTATTTGAGATAGATTCATTTTGAGGATTTTTGGGGTGAGAAAATTATATATTGATGGGTAAATAGGTTGATTATCTTCGTTTAAAGGATACTATATGATAAGGGGATATGATTTTGATTTTATAAAAAGAATTTGGAATAATGGAAGGTTGAACATTTATTTTAGGATGGATGGATATTTTATAATGCGATAGATTGGATTTGATTTTGATGTTATTTTAATGATATATTTGGAGATATTTGTTGTATGGATTATTATATTGTTTGGGATTTTTTTATATATAAAATCAAATTATAAAATTTTAATGTTGTCTTTAAAATGAATATTAATTTCAATATTATTTTTTGTTTTATGAATTTTAATCCTATAATATTTATTAATATTTTAGAATAATAAAATTTTAATATTCTAGATTTTTTTATCTAAAATAATATGTTAGCCTTTATGTTATGCATTTTTGTTTATAGAATGAGGATTGCTTTGGTTATTTTTATAGGATAAATTAAATTTTGAGCCTACAATTTTGTTGCATTAGTGCCTTAAAGGTTGATTCTCTTTATGCTATAGAAGAATTATGTAGTATATTATAAGGGTTGAAAAATATATTCTATAGTGGGATATTGTGTTCCTATAGAGCTTGGTTCAATCATTTATTATTATAAAATGGGGTTCTTATTCCACAGAGGATATTACATTTATATTATTAATATGTTTTAAGTAATATATATATATACATATGATGTTATTTATATTACGAAATATAATTGTGTAAGGATTGATTTGAATTTATATTATTGAATGAAATAGAATATGTGTATATATTTGATTGGAAAAATGATATATATGGGTATATTGATATTGGTTTCCATTTATTTGAATTTATATTTTATGATTTATTGATCATTTATATTTATATTATTATTAATTGAATTATATTTGACGAATAAAATTATTACATAATGAATTTTGATGATTCGAAATTATATTATATAAATTTAAAATTATTGTATTTAGGGGTGCACGAAAGTAAGGTTTTGGAGTTGAGTGGTTGATGATGTAAGAGATATTTTTCTTAATTTTATATTATTTAAATGATAACAATTAATTCTATCGAGATCGATATATTATTGATTCGTAATATTATGAATATATTGTTTTAATATTGAAATATTATAATTGATATTTATTTTCTAGCTATTTTCGCACGTGGCCCCGGGGGTAATTACCGTTGCATTTTTATTATATCTGTTCAAGCGACAGGCCCGCAAATGGCAAAAGAATAATTCACAAAAATATATGGAATTCTTATCGAATATGCAATTGTATTCCATATTCACGATCAAATATATCAAAATTCCATGTCCGTTGAATCATTTGATATAGATATAATTTTATATTTATTTCATTTAATCGTTTATTTTGACCGGATGCGTCTGGACGTTTGCAGCGTTCGCCGCTGCCAGCCTTCGTAGAAGGCGCCAGTTGAGTTGTGTTTGGCGAACGAAGTGAGTAAGTTACGAAAATCAACCTTCGTAGAAGGCGTCAGTTGAGTTGTGTTTGGTGAACGAAATGAGTAAGTAGGGGGTGGCCCGAGAAAGGGCTAGATATCGAAAATCAATTATATATGGTTTAATGATAATATATATATAATAATTCGATATTTGTTTAAACATAATCTAAAAATAGAATATTCATATATTGATGAATTTATAGATTTCATAAATGATCTTAATATATGAATAAATTATGTTTTAATAATTCAAGAAATCGAATCAAATATATTTTTATATGAATAAAAGCAATATTTATATATATTATTAATAATTCAATATAATATATTAAATATATATATTAAATAGATATATTTATTTTACTTTGAGATTGAAAATTTAAATGTATATATATATAGAAGCGAATCTTTAGATATTTAACGATATATATATATTAATATGATATTTATTTATATTAAATAATATCTATTTAATAGATATTCAATAGATAATTTCAATATATATATATAATAGTTCTTAAATATATATTTATTTAATATATATAATATTACAAATTATTGAATATAGATAATAATTGAATATTAATGTTACAAATCATATTATAAAAGAAATTTCATATATCAATAATAATTGTTTATTTATATTCATATATAAATGATGATTATACAATTATAAACAGACAAAATTAATCATAAATTCAATTAATAATATATATAATTAAATGAACATAATCTTGAATTCAATTTGTAATATATAAAATTAAATAAATATAGGATTATATCAATTCATATATTCAATATAGGATTCAATTATATTTTTATATATTAATAAAAATATATCATATTTATATTTAATAATTAATCCTCACAATCTAAATCAATTTTATGGTAAATATAGGAATGATAAATAATCGTATTTATGCAATAACCTCAAACAATTCTTATATATCACGATTCTCATATATAATATATATCAATATTCATAAATTTTGAATGTGTCACATCCCATTACATATAACAATCCCTACAATATTTTTCCATATGGCATTTCATAAATTTCTTATATATATATGATTCCTTTCTAATTAATTTTCGTATTTCCCTATTTCAAAGATTATATTTAAAATAAATACAAAATTATAGTTAATCACAAAAATATATATTCACAAAAAATGATCACAATTATTCAACCACAAACCACAATGAACCACTAACACACAATCACAAATATACAATCGCAAACACACAACCAGAAACACAAAAACACAAATATTTTTCCCACACACATTTTAATACAATATCTTTCAATATATTATGAATCAAATTGAATGAATTCAATTATATCAACAATATATATAGAATTTAATATATTTAATAATTTAAATTAAACTACGCAATATATCTATTTCAAAATATCTATAGATATTCTTGCAAATCCGTTTAAAATATCATAATATTAATTCTATAAATTAATCAAATATATATAATATAGACATACATTCATATATTTATAAAATAGGATTTTTTTTAAAAATAATTATTTATTATTTCAATATATAATTCTCAAAAATATAAATCTACATCTATTCTTTTTATGGATTTAATAAATTAAATATATTTAGATATATTTTAATCGAAATTATATATTCTAATTAACATTATCAATTTAAATTGAATTACTAAAATATGCAAGGTCGATTCGCATAAATACGCTACCATATTTTCCTTCCATACCACATAGAGTGGATAGAAATTCATCCAATATCGAATAGCTACCTGATCCAATAATATCTCAATTAAATATAATTGTTCTAAATGCATTTCTTCATCACAAAGAAATCAAATCAATTAATACATTATTTGATAGTCTTCAACTAAATTCCATTTAAGTTATAAATATATATGTCTAAAATAAATGGATCGCATATTAATTAAGCCCAATCATGGTCCCATCTATTCCTAACATTTTTTCTAATAAAAATTACCCGTATATTAATTAAATCAAATCAATATAATAAGTAAATTTATTCTATATTATATATTCGTTATCCTTCTATATTTCACCGTAAGATATTTCATTTATCCCTTTCTAAATTCCTATCAATAACGTGAAATAATCATTATATAAATCCTAGCCGAATAACAAAACAGAGAAGAACATCATCCAATATCTCGAATTTTTACAGAAGGGGTGGTCATGGGGCCTGGGTTTTGGTTTTCCATACATTTTCATAAATATTAGGTAAATGCATCAGTGCCACAATCAAAACCAAAAAACACTGATAAATATGCATAAAGGATAAAAAAACACATAAGAAAAAATAAAAAGAACTAAAAACCATGGGAAAACAAACAAACTAAAAAAACAATTCTGGTAGACTCTTGGCTGGACCCCCCAAAATCAGAAAAAACAAAAAACCAAAAAAAGCTTGGGAAAACCAAAAAAACAAAAAAAACAATTCTGGGAGACTCTTGGCTGGACCCCCCAAAATCAGAAAAACCAAAAAAACAAAAAAACCTTGGGAAAACCGTTTACTGCGTTTTTTTTGTTTTTCTGATTTTGGGGGGTCCAGCCAAGAGTCTCTGAGAATTGTTTTTTTGTGTTTTCTCAAGGTTTTTTGGTTTAGCATCTGAACTTACTTCTCACCTCAAGGCATCTGTTCTTTTTGCTTACGTCTGAAACCGTCTGAGCTCAACACTTCCTTCGTCCTTGTCCAAATCTCCATATACAAGTCTGAGTGCGTTAACTGCTGACTGGTATCAATGCGGTTGCCACTTGCATTTCCAAACAGCTTGACATGCAGTTGCGAGGACACTCTGTCCTTTACATGAAACGGTTGGAAATCTTTGCGAGCGTAATTCTGTGCTTATAGCTCAAGCGTTTACATCTTATTCTGGCGAACTTCTAATTTTAATTCTAATTCCTTTCTAATTCAACTCTCATCTAATTTCAATTAGGCTATAGTTATAGTTCAATACAA